GAGTAGGAGCCGGGCAGGTTCTGGCAGCGTGCTGCCCCGCAGGTGCCCGGGTCTGCACACTCGTCCACGTCTGTGGGAAATGGGCAGGGAAGGCCGGCCCAAAGTCACTGGGACTAGCCCGGCTGGCGGGGGAGCGGCTGGCGTCTGCTCCACGGGGCCACACACTGCCCACCCTCCCTTGCCCGACCCCCAGCTCTGGGCCCAGGGTGCACGAGGGCATTTCTGACCAAGGGCCTGATTGAGAAAACCGATAGATGCCATGGCTGGATGGGCACTGCTGGGCCACGTGGACCGAGCCCTGGCTGGATGGCTTCTGGAATGACCATGACTGCCTGTGGACTGTGAAGAACCACCCCATCTGGCCAGCCCCGGGGCTGTCCGGACCAAAGTCCCACCCACAGTGAACTGCCCACGTGTCTCAAGTACTCGGTTTCTGCTGCAGGACTGCACGGTCCCGGACATGTGTGTTCTCCTGTGCACCAGGAGCCTGCTCAGGGCAAGCCCAGCAGGAAGACACCTCATAGCAGCAGGTCTGCACTCAGACGTCTCAGACACCCAAGAGCCAGGGTGTCTTCACGGGCTTTCTGGCCGGTTGGGCAGGACAAGGGAGGGTGCAAGGGGAGGGAGCCCTGTGGTCAGGGCGAGGGCAGACTGGAAGGGGATACTGTGGCATTTGGACACAACCGGGTCATCGAGGCTGAGAATAGCAGATGACAAAACTGGAAGCTGTTTCTGGAAAGTGGGGACCAGACGGTCCAGTCTTGCCTAGCCCTGCAAAGGGGGGTCACTCTTCTGCAGCCATGGCACGCCTGGGCCAAGGGCGGCGCACATAACTCCAGTGACTTTCGGGGCTGTCCTCAGGGCCTCCCGGCCTGACCACCGTGAGCCATGCCCTCGGGCCCAGGCTCTGCCACGGGCCACAGGACTGGAGGCGTCGCAGCCCCCGAAGCAGAAGCAGGCCCTCAGCCCAGGGAGTGCTGGACAGTTCCCATGGCCACGCAGGCCCGGCTTGCATCTGCAGGTCTGAGGGACGGCCCTAGGGCCAACCACGGTGGGAGGGTGGGGCGGCAGGCAGCCTTACCTTTGCAGGCCCGGCCATCGGGGGCAAGCGCAAAGCCGCTGTGGCAGCTGCAGTGGAAGCTGCCTGGCTGGTTGCGGCACACCTGGCTGCAGCCCCCGCTGTGCTGGCTGCACTCGTCGACATCTGGCAGAGAGCAGGGCCTGCACTCACGCCGCCCGCCACGGGTCCCGCAGCCAGGGGACAGCGGGCAGGCACCGGCGTAGTGGCGACCCACTGGGTTCAGCTCTGCCCACTGGAGGGTGCACGGGAGGGCGAGGGAGATGACCAAGCTTGTGGCCAGAGCCTCACGCCCGCTGGGCCCACGTGGCCAGGGCAGGGCCACCACCAGAGTCGGGGGTTGGGACCCAGTCTGTGGGTTCCTCGGGGAGGTCAGGGGCGACATTACCCCCTTAACCAGGTGGTGCGGGCCTCCCACCCACCCCCAGCTGCTCCCCTCCTCTGAGGAGCCTCTGGCTGTATGACCAATACATGCTCCTTGGGGGGGAGACAGAGGGGGCCGGGGGGTCCGAGGCCAGGGAGGGAGGCTCTCCCAGGTCCCAGCCTCACCTGTGTCACAGAGCCGGCCCCTCCAGCCGGCCTTGCACAGACAGAAGAAGTTGCCCATGAGGTCCTGGCAGGCCTGGGTGCCCGCCTTGGTGCAGGGGTTCGGGGTGCACTGGTCTGGCAGACCTGAGTGAGGACATGAAGGAGAAGACCACACAAGCTGACCACCAAGCCCCTAGGCAGCAAGGAATGGGGCAGGACCTTGGGGCAGCCAGCCCGGAGCTGGGCAGACGCTGGGGTGGCACTGGCATCCCCCCCGGCCCAGGTGCCCGGACACAGTTCTCGCCTCTGGGCAGGGGCGGGATGGGACAGTTGGCCAGGCCTGGGCTGGTTCCAGGAAAACCCCATCAGCAGATGGGAGGGGGCTGCTGGGGCCCAGGGACGGGTCCGCAGCTCAATCCTCCCAGGGAGCTGCCAGGCAGAACCACCAGTTCTGGGGCTTCTGAGGGTCCGTGCTGCCCACCCAGACCCAGCAGAACTGCTGGCCACTCCCCAGGTACAGCACTGGGAGCTCGCAGTGGAGGGGCCCAGACGGGCCAGGCTACACTCAGGTACCTCCGAGTGGTGGCGAGGCCGGGTGTGCGCCCACTCCTCCTTCGCAACCCAGGCCGAACTCCAGGGAGAGAGCAGGGAGCGTGGAGGTGGCTGATGCTCACAGGGTGGCAGTGGGGCAATTCGGGCTCTGTGGTCGGAGGGTGCCCCTTCCCTGCCTGCAGGGCCCTCTCCATGTGAGACGCTTTCAGGAACATACACCCGGGACACGGCTGCCACGGAGGCAGCAGAAGGGCAGAGCGAGCGGCCAACTGAGGAAGAGCCGTCGCTTCTCCAGAGCGCGAAGACGCTTTCAGCCCAGCAGACACCACCGGCCGCGAGCTTGGCCCAGGGTGCTGTGGAGGTGCAGGTCGGCGGGCAGAGGGCCATCAGTCTGAGCAGACAGGTCTGCGGGTGCTGTACCCCAGGGCTGCCACCACGGTCCACTGAGACTCGTGGCAGGTGGCTGTCTCCTGGGCCTGGTCCGCCTCCCCCTTAGACACGTGTCCTGACCTCAGTCCTGAGCTCTCGCCATGCCGCGGCTCGGTCCACGTGGGGCTGTGACTGTCTCTGGGCCCGCGGGCCGTCTGTGCCTTTCTGTCCCTGCTCCCCCGTGAGCTATCGGCCCCTCCCGTGGACAGTCGCCTTCCACACTCCAGACGCAGGGGCTCTACCTCATCTGGGGTGCTGTGGCCTGGTGCCGAGGCCGGGCTGTGTCTCCAGGGGGACTCCAGATGGCCTGGTTCCCGAGTCTGTTCTGTTCTGGGAGAGGGTGAGGGGCGCGGCCCTGCTGCCAGCCTGTGGTCACCCTGGCCCACGGGCTGTCAAGGCGCCCTGACCCAAGCTCTGGCAGACCATGCCGGGGACCCAGCCGAGACCCAGTCCTCCCCACACGCCTCCAGCACCAGCATTCCATGGCTGCCTCACTGTCCCGTGGCCCTTCCCATGGGCCACACAACCACAGAGCTGCCACCAACCTCTGTCCTTTCCTGTCTATGAGGAAACAGGTCCCGAGAGCCCTGTGACAGCCCGAGAGGTATCGCTAACACTCAGGGGACCGAGGGACAGTCCAGCCCGCTCACGCCCCTCCTCACGGCGTCTCGGGCCCCTGCACTACTGCTCCAGCTCCTCTGCCAGAGGCCACTGTCCCTTCGCCACCACGCCACCCTGACCTTAGGCCTGGTGGCTGGGAGAGTGTGGAGCAAGCCACGGCCGCTCGCTCCGTTCCCAGGGTCCTCCTTCGGGCCGAGCCTTGGTTCGGCCGTGGCCCAGCCTCCCCTGGACCCTGCCCGATTGTGACCCTCCGTGCACTCTCATAGTCCACCCTCGTGCGCGGGTCACAGCCAGCTGAGGCTGGTGCAGGCGTTGGCGAGCCCACACAACCCACCGTCACTGTCAGGCCGTCACTGTGACGCCCGTACCCTGAAGCAGGATGACTGGGCCTGGTGGCAAGCCAGGAAGGAGCGGTGGGCGGGACGTGTCCTCCAGGTGCCCAGGCCAGCAGTCTCAGGGCAGGAAGGTACAGAGACATGGGCTGAGGGCTCAAGCCAGGGCGGGACCCTCAGAGCCAAGCCTGACCCCAGGGCAGTGGCCGAGGCCGGAAGGAGCTGTACAGGAAGGGCACTCTGCGTGGCCAGGTCTGGCCCTCCAGTTACTCTGGAGCACCATACATCCGACTCGAGGCTGGGAGCCCGACCTTGAACCGGCCTAGAACAGGGACTACTCCTGCCCACAGGGCTGAGGGACAACTTTGGCATGTCTCCTACAGCGGAACTGAGATTCCCACATGCCTCGGGCCGACCGCACACACCCATTCTAGCCCACAGGTGTCTGTCTCCCTGCCAGGAAGTCATCTCTAGAACAACGGGAGACAGCGGCACCCAAGGGCCGAGCTCAGCTGACTCCCGTGGAATCCGCACCCGCCAGGCCACCCCTGGGCATGCCCAGCATAAGGGCTGCCTGGGCCCAGGGTGCAGTCTCAGGCGGTGTGTGTGCAGGAGAGAGGGCTCGTCATGGCTGGCCGACAGCCATGCTGAGGGTGCGGC